TTCCTTATGCCCAATTTTTCTGTCTTGATTAATCTGTAATTTATAGCAAATCCAAGATATTTTAAAAAGTGTTTGTATCCTTTAAAGAAATAACTGCAAGACTGTTAAAAAAAATGACTAAAATGTTACCTTGTTACCTAGAATAAATTTTCATATTAAATTAGCTTTCTGCCCTTAAGGTTTTTCATAGACTATCATTTTTTCTTAAAAATGGACTGTGGAACAGTAATACATTATAGCTCTTTTAGTAATGCTTTTAAAGAGTGAAACAGTAGTTTGCAATGACGTTTAATGCCACAAAAACATTTAATGTTAACTAAAGAAAGTGATCAGAAGATTTATTGAATTTATTTTCAATGTCGTAAGTTCCTATTATTTTATGTAGTTGGCAGATATTTTAGGATGAATTGTGAAAAGTAGACTCAGTGAATGTGGGAATTGTTGTTTTCCTGAATAGAATAAATTGTTTTAGCTGTGAAAATTTAGCTAAGTGCTAAAACCAAATGTGTACTTTATACATCATTTCTTTAAGAATTTACCTCTTTATTGCATACTTTATAGTGTTTATAAATTCCAAAAAGTGTTTAACCAATAATATTATAAGGCTATTTTCAACTAAAAAGGAATAATGCTTTGTTAGGTGTTTCAATGAAGAAGTCTCAGACTGCCCATTTTAGAATGTCTGTAAATTTAAATACAGAAAATATTCTATGTGATCTTTGCCTAGCATCTATTAAGATAAATTGGTTTGATCCTGTGGAGAGAGTAATCAAAGGATAAAGATTTGTTTCTAATATCAGTTTTTGTCCTCTATCTCCACTGTCTTTACGTAATTATGCTAGATTTTACAGTAATTATTTCTGAAAGTAATTGAAAACTCTGTTATTTGTTTAGATGTCTCACTGTCATCTTTGAAGTTTTTATCAGTGACTAGAGGACAAAGTAGAGATGGGGCAATTGATAATACTCTGATTCAGCTGCAATACAGCATCAGCCTTAGCTTTTCAGAGAAGAGTTGAACTCACTAGAACCTTGTAGAACATTGTAGGATTCCAGTGAAAACGGAATGTTGTGCCTCCTGGTTGAAGGCAGAATATCCCAAGCACGGCATGGATGGTGGCCAACTACCTACCAGAGTACTGTGTCGGTTTCTTTGGTAAACAGCACAGGGCAATAGTATGCTTGACTCTGTCAGAGAGGCTCTAAGCTAGGTGCTAGGAGAAGCTTTGTTCACGTGTTCCACTGTTCACCATGGCCTTGGCTATGCCCATTCTTGACAGTGTCATTGGGGGTGTGGAGGAATAAAGGATTTTTTAAAAATCAATATCTTCATACTCCATAAGAACATAAAACTTTTTATTGCTTAAAGAACATTAAACTGAGAATCAGCAACCCTCAATTCCAGAATGGCTCTTCTATACTAACTTTTTAAGTCATTGAATTTAATTGTCTTCTTGGAGCCTTGTTCTCTTTACCTGGAAATAGCACACAAAGGACTAGAATCATATTTTTCTCTAGACTAGATGACATCACGGTGATTTCTTCTAATTCATTTATTTTATAATTTAGAAAATTAAGGTCCAGAAAGGTGGAAGGCTTGGCTTAGAGTCCAAAGACCTAGTTACTGACAGATCTGCATTCTCATGTCTTGTTCTAACGTCTTTCCAGTTGTTCCTGTTAAATTCTCATTCCAAAATTTACGGACTCTGTGATTGTATTTGTTTCTCATTGAATGTTTTTCTCAAATTCCATAATTTATTCCTTTTAGAGAAGGAAATTAAGATTCTTTTTTGCTGAAAATGAATATAAATCTTGGTGTCATGATGTCTAGTTCAGGAGTCTGCTTTACATTTTTCCACAGTGGAGATTTTGGTCCAGGATTTGAAGTTGTCTGTGCATGCATACATTTTTACCCTGTTGTGCATATGAGAGAGAGAGAGAAAGAGAAGGGGGGCAAACCACCAGCATAGTTGGAGTTTAATGCAATTTGGAAAGGTTGTCATCTATTAGTCTACCTGTTAATGTCAGTTCTTTGTCATTTTTCCCCCTTTGATTTCTAATTTTTGGATACCTCTCAGAAACATGAATCTCATCTCACTAGGCAATATGACAAGTAGCGGAGAATTGTAGTAAAAACCCAAAACGAACATGGTGATTATTCCTGTTGGTTATAGCAAATGAGGTGAATGTTGAGGTGCAGAAGTTGATCTGGAGAGAATATTAGAATAATTTTCTTTCCTGTATCTTCAGTGTGGTCTCCAGTGATTGACTCCTCCTCTTTTCAGTGCACTGTCCTTTTCTGTGTTCTCATGGCCCAGATTCTTCCTTCCCACTATTACCATGTCCTTCTCCTTCGTTTTATACCTAAGCTAATAAAAATTACATTATTCATTTCCCCTTTTCTTCCTGTTTTCTTTTGCTCAGTAGGCTTTTGTCTCCCTCTACACTTGTAGGAATGTTCCCAGTAAAGCCACCATTGATTTCCTAGCTGAAATGTTTGATAGAGTTTTCTCAAGCTTCATCTTCATTTTGGGAGGTTGATAGTAATTATTTGTTTCTTGAAATTTTCCAATAGTAGCACCAATTCTCTTGGTTTACCTTCTGCTTTCTGGCTTTTGTATTATTGACTCCTGTTTCTCTGCCTTTTCCTTACATCTGTTCTTTTAAAAGTCTTGGTCCACGGTTTTACTTACTCGATAAAGTGGTCTCATTCAGATTTCTTCCAAAATTTACCCAATGGCTCCCAGATCTAGCCTAGCAATTCCAGTACATCCAGCTGTCCAGCAGTTCCCAGAGCCTGTAACATTTTAGATATCAAATACTGGTTGGATGAGTTATCTGTAGGTAACTGTAATTCAGCATATTTAGAAGTAACTTCATCGTCCTTCCTCCTTCCTCCAAACCTGTCTTCTCTCCTTGCTTAGTGTACCAGTGAGCACGGTGTAGCATCATCTATACCACTCCACCACACTGAAAACCTGGGTTTTTACTAGAATTCTCCGCTACTTGTCATATTGCCTAGTGAGATGAGATTCATGTTTCTGAGAGGTATCCAAAACTTAGAAATCAAAGGGGGAAAATGACGAAGAACTGACATTAAAATAGAGAACATACACTTTAGCATCTACATAATCTTTTATGTTGGTAGTCTGCATGTAATAGTCCTTCCCTGTGCTGGTTTATAAATAAGCACCTGAGATTGTGAGATAATTGTGGAACATTTAGCAATATAAACTTTTTGGTAGACTGGAGAAAGGAAAACTTAACATTCATTAGATAGTTATGACACAATTTAGTTTGTTTCCATTAAGAAAATAATCCTTTTAATGTAGTGACAGTTGTTTTGCTGTACAGCAAACCTTGAGATTAAATGTATTCCATCTTTCAAAATGTACATGCTTTTCTAAGAAAATGTAAAGCATTTTCAATTTATATAAATTTTGACTGTTGATTTAACATCTTAGGTGGCTGGTAGCTAGTTTGTTTTTTCATTCTTGGTCTTTAATACTGAAATGTTTTAGAGAGTGAAGACTAAACAACAGCTTATATCCTGTTAATATTTACTTTTTTTCATACTTTGCTCTATTTAAAATTAATTAGGACTTTGGTTTTTATATTTAAGTTGTCTAATTTTCAGAATCCTTTCCCACTCTTAGGAATCTAGGCCTAGTGCAGTTGCCGCAAATGTCAACATTTACAAGATGCCTTTGGATAGGACAGAACTTGCCCTGAAAGTGTTGGAAAGATGGCACTCATTATGCATACTAGTAGCTTCTATTTAACTCATCCTCCTCAGGAAACAAAATTTGCATAATGCCACTCTCTATCAATTGTGTTGCAAAGGTCCTATGGAAAGAGTATATCAACCGAAAGAATCTATATGGTGTGCCTAGAAAAGGTGAAGGCAGGTCATCTGTTTGTTAAATGAGAGATAGGATCCAAACTTACAGTATTTTCCTTCTAAGAATTAAGTCCAAAACCAACCATTCTTAGAGAAGCTTTAAAAAGGAGGTGGTGGTTTATATGCTGACAAAATTCTTATTTTGATAACTGCCAAATTTATCTACAATTCAATGCGGATTAAATTATAAAAAGTAAAAATGTTTTCTTGGCTTTCACCTCATCGTCCCTTGAAAAATGGTCTCTTCTGTTGGTTTGCATTCAAGGTAAAAATTAGCCTGGGCAATATAGTGAAAAATTCTTAGAATAAGGATGCAGTATTTCTGGAGAGGAATAGTTTGGCAAATATCAAGGAAAAAATTGTTTTATATGAGAATTATTGCTTTAAATCTGAAAATTATTAACAGCACTCATTTGTTCTTGTCATTGGAGAAAAATCTTAAGGGGCTTATTGAAGAATCTGGTGTGGGAAGCTTTGCTTTGCCGGAGAGAGAAAAATAGGACGTTGTGCAAAAATAAAAATAAGGTGTATGAAACATAAATATTCTTTTCATGTGCGTATCCTAGCCCCATTTCTACTTTATTCATGTAGTTTGGGGGGGGGGACAATAGTTTAAAAGCATAGGATGTTTTCTGGGAAAGAAAACATATTTTTAAAACAATAGAAATAAATAATTGTAGTTCTCTTTATTGTTTTTGATCAAGTAGAAGCAAAAAAGTTTCTGTAAAATCTGCCTTTCTGTAGTACATGAGTACATTATTCTGATGTGTCTTGATATGACTCCTCTCACTCTTATAGAGACACCCCCCCAACACACACACACACTTAATTTTTGATATGTTAGATTTTCATAATAGGCCTTTTGTTTTTTTACAAAAGAAAAGCTATCCTTATAATCTTCTGTAATATAATATTCCCTCCATCCTTGATTCTGAAAAGCACCATTTTATTTTCATTGTGATGTTTCATTCATCTTTCTCTCCCTTTGGCAGAGTAGAAGTCTTATCTCTTGGCCCAAGGTTTTATCCTTAGCATCTAGAACAAAAGTAGGCACTTATTATTTATTGGTTGAATTAATTAAATGATCCCTTTCTGACTCTTCTCATTGTTGCAGTAACTTTATTTGTTTTAAATACAGATTCATTTATGAGGCAGTTTTATATACATCAACTTCCTACCCACCCGTGTTTTCTTTTGGTACATCAGTTGGCCAACCAGTATTTGCTCAGCAGTAGCTTGGTGCCACAAAATGGACTTTATCCCTACACTTCTGGAACTTAACACCACTTTAATACTAATGGCTCAGAATGACATCATTATCTTGTGAATAATCTCATTTCTTTCATATGTCATGGAAGTAGTACATTTCATTGCCAGACCTTGTTAGTGATGTCTTCATCAGCCTAATGAAATGTTAAAGAAGGTATGCCTAAACTTATAACGATCTTCTGATTTTATCTGGTCCTCTTTGATTTTTCAGTAATTTTCACCAATCTTGATCTCCTAATAGGATACAGTTCTTTATTTTACTTTAGTTTGAGAAATTTCTACTAACTTGTGTAGTGTTTTCAAAAAATACTAGGTTTTTATTCACATTTTTATTCAGTTAATTTTGACAAAGTCCAAAGCTGTCTATAGCGCTATGGAAATTAACGAGATTTTTCCTCTTCCCTCTTGGTAGGGTTTTACTCATGTACATATATAAAAGGCTCCAATACTGGGTTTCAAAAATGTCTAATGGTCAAAAAATGTCATTGGCTTTTGATATTTTAAGACCTTTATTCCCTTTTCCTTTCTTTGGTTTGATTTGTAGATAATATACACCATGGAGCACTTTATTTTCCTCTTCTCACTAGATTATATATTGTATTCTAAAACAGCAATAAAGCATGTTCAGTCCCTTTCTTTTGAATCCTAAGAATTAGCTCTGACCAAATGGCAGCTAGCCCTAGCTTTTTCTTTAGCCAAAATTACATCTGCATTTTCCATTACCTCACTTACATCCCTTTTGCCCTCATTCTTTTTTATATATTTAAAATTCCTGTAACATTCCTCAGTGGTAATTTTCTGAAGTTTACTTTAGATCACTTGAGGACTTGTGATATAAAAAGACTGAGGCTAGGGTTGCATTAATTTCTTTACCCTGTTCATAGTCTTTCTTTAAGAGTTTTTATCTTAAAAATAATGTGTAGCAGCTATACATATCTGCATTTTAATCATAAACAGAATTCAGATTCCCCCAGTTTCAGCAGCTTTGCCAGTGCCATTTCTGGTTATGATATTTCGGTAATCGCAGTTAAAAAAAAGGTAACGTTTTGAGCAAACCTTATTAACAGGAAAACAATAATAAAAATCTTAATAACTGACATTTATTCAGCAGTTAATCCTGTATGCCTGACTCTATGTGTTTTATATAAATTATCTAATTCTTAACAATTTTATAAGGTAAATGATACTATAATTCATATTTTATAAGTGAAGAAACTAAGACAAGTGAGGTTAAGTTGACTTGCCATAAAGATATGCATTATAACTTTCATTTATAGTTCAAAGAAAGCTTTAGAGAATAATATTAATACTTTGGAAATCTGTATTGAAATTAAAATTTTGAGTTCATTTGTCAGTCTTTCCTACAATTATCTGTAGAATTACAACGTAACTATTAACCCCACTGATAGAATTGAAAACTTATTTTTAGATGGCTTTGAGGGAAGACAGGGAGGGGGGCTTGGCCTTATAAGTGGAATCATTCTTTTCTTACTTGGTTATCTTTCATAGACACTAAAAAGACTAAAAATTTGTTAGGGTATAATCTTAAACTTACTATTAAGGTTAAGTATATAAAAATCATATCATATTAGTACACGTTCATAAGTAATTTTGAACATTTTCATGATTGCAGAAGTTTTTACAGGCTTATTACATTATTACCAGGAGGAGCCCTAAGAAATATAACACTAGAAGAATTAGCACTCTCATATCATAAGTTATAGAGTCAAATGAGCACTAGACTGAAAATTTGCTTGGACCCTGAGGATAAATTTATTTGTAGATACCTGCTGAATTTCAGGGCATTGTCTAATATTGACATTATTCAAAATCTCAAGTTTTTAAAGTCTGCTTCAGAGATGCCAAGTTTCCTAGACATCGATGGTCTCTCTCATTGAGTACAGAATAAGAGTCTAAGTCATTTTTAGGGTAAGCTTCATTTTATTTATTAAAAATAACTGAATCCTTCTGTAAACCAGCTTACAGTTCAGTCTTATTGAAGGTACGGCAACCATGTCTTTATTCCTAGGTAACCTGCAAAGTAGCTAGCTATTAGACCACACAAGTGACCTACTTCATTCATCTCTTAGAAGATCCTCATTTGGCTGAAATTCCTACCATGACTATCCCTACCTTAATTTTTCTTTATCTTTTCTTATGATCCAGTCTCTTAACTATCCGTCCAATATAGGCAGATAGTTTGACATAGCTCTGTTTGATTTGCGAATGAAGATCATGGATCAAAGTAATTTTATGCATGAAAACTTGGATAGTGTTTCTTTTTAACACATTTGTTGATCACCTACTCTACGCAAGGCACCATGGTAAATATGGCAGAAAGCACATAGATGAAGAGTAATAATCTGATGGCCAAAGTCAACAGGGTCCTTATGTCAGATGTTATTATTCTAAATGTTTTACCATATGCATTACCTCATTTGACTTTCATAGTAAACACGTGAGCTCGGTACTGTTCATATCCTCGTTTTTTATAGGTAAGAATACAAAGTATAAAAACCACCCAAGGTAACAGCTGATAAAGTGGTGAATTGGGCCGGGCCACAAATCCAAGCAGTACAGACTTTAGAACCTACACATAGCCATCATATAATTCTGCTGTTTATTCCCTGCTCTCCAGGAACTCCAGAACAGAGCTATATTGTGTCTGTGAAGGAGAGCAGAGCAGGCCCAGTGGCCAAGGCAGTTTAGCATTCAGCCCAGTTTTCTAGTTTGAATGTGGACTTACTCTAGTTTTGATAACACAATATCCCTCTTCCGTGAAAATTCCGTACAACTTGCCTTTGATAGGGTTTTGGATATTTAAGTGAAATACTATAGTTCTGACAATAAATGGAATGCCTTAGTAAAATTTTATTCAATTAAGATTTGATAGAACAATTAGATGTCTGATTTATCCCAAAAATCTTACACCAGGTTTTTTGTTGTTGTTCTGGGGGTAGGAGGGACTTCAGAACTATTTTAAGATGACCATAAGTAAAATAAAGAATAATATACTATAAGGTTTTAATGTTCTCTTACTTTCTTTCATCAGAATTTTAATTTTAACATGTGACAGGAAAACATTGGTCATGTTGGTGGGCTTGAGTTTTCAGACGTTCATCTTCAGTTCTGATTGGGTTTTCTTTTTGCTTGAGCAAAAGTTATGAGATTTCGCTAAAATTTTAGTTCACAAATCAATTAAGGGAAGGTCAGCTGTAAGCAATGAGCATGTTTCTGGAAGGAAATTGTTCCAGAAGGTTGGTAATAAAGTTGTTAAATCCAAAGGTGAGTAAATGACACACATACACCATAAGAAGGAATTAGCAAACTGGACTAGCCAAACCCCTATGGATTCTGCTCTGAAACTGTTGAATCTCTAAATATCTAACAGTTCCTTGAAATTGTGCTAGTCCCACCCATCAGTAAGCGGTAATGCTTATAAAGCTCTCCAAGCTTTCTGACTTGAATAGCAGATTTGGGGGTGGGTGGGGAGAGCAAGAATTAATAAATAAGCATAGAGTTATAATTCAGATCTGAAAACCTTTACTAAATTTTTATAATATCCATTTTGGTAATACCAGTGCTGATATAACAACACATGCATTTCAGGAAATTTTAGTGTTCAACAGATCAGATGAAGATAATGTTGGAAAAAAAAGCATTTATATATTTCTATTTTTATAAATTGACTTTAAATATTGCCTGCATTGTTTTTGTTTTAAAAATATGTATTTCAATACTATGGGTCACTTCTAGGAAATCGGCACAAAATATGCTAAGGATTTGGATCTAATCATTTCATGTGAGAGGCACAAAATCAATTTGAAATAACTTTTATTCTATGCAAAATGTATTTTCTATTGGCAAAACTAGAGTTTTCTCTAATTTCCTGTCTGTATTTTTATAAATAAAATGTATTACTTGGCTTGAAATCTTAAAATTATTTTTCTGTTGGAAGTTAGAGCAATCTCATAAAGTTTTAAATAAATTGTTCTTGAACATGTATTCAATTTTGATTTAAAATAAAGCTAAGATTTGTTACATATTGTGGCAAATATTTACATTTTATAAAACAAACTTTGCCTGTATTTAGTCAATATAATTTTTAAAATAGCTAAGGTTATGGGCACACATAATCTTCTGCAGTATACTGAGGGAAGATGAAACTGCATTTATAAATCTCCTTGTACAGTTACGATAAAATTACTTTAAAACTGTATCTGTAGAAATGAGTTGTGCAAAACAATATACATGTAACATTTACATTTTTAGGAACTGAAAAATAGGAGTTCTATGTCATTTGAGTTGCAGACTGTCTCTCTTCAGTCAATAGGCTTGATCATCATCTGAACTGCTCTCAAGGAGTACGACCCGCCTCGATATTCAGCCCAAAAAATTCCATCTTGGTACTTGCTTCTGTAATGGCCTCCTCTGTACCATACTCCATTTAGGTTAGAATGTGCACAGGCATTGTACCACCATCCTCCTTTATGAAAGTGAGCACAGTTTCCTTTGAGGAAAAAAATAGAGATATCAAAGTAAAGGTTTCTTCTAAGTGTGGGACTCTGCAAACCATCTAAAACTACTCCACCTTTGGAATGATTTAATTTGTGTTTCTCTTACTGATTTCAGTTACCTTTATCTTTATTTTTGTTTCTTCATTCATTTTCTTACTGTTCCTGAAGTATCAGCTACTTGAAAGATCACTCGAATTACCTTTATCTTGCCCTTTGCTTGCTTACCACATGCTTTTTTTAGTTAAGTGATTTAACTTTTTGGGTAACAGTGTAAATAAGACATAAATTGCATTTGTGAAAGAGAAAGAGGGAGGTAGGGATTGGAGAGATTGGGAAAGATACAGAGTTGCTAAAAGAGTAAATTTGGGAAAACTCAATTCTTAAAATAGCACAGAATCATATGCAATAGAATGGCACTACCAGTAGTCAAATGTGTTTCTGTAAATATGGTATACTTTGGTTATATCTTTCTTCCTTTTTTTTTCTTTTGCTTTCATAAAATAGGTTATTGTGGAGACCTGTGTGCTCCTGGCCAAGATACAGCTGAACAGAAAAACAGATCAGTTTTCAGGGGGGATATCTCTTTATTGGGGCCACAGACCTGGGTTAAAAAGGCAAAAGTATATGAAAATTAATGTTAAGAGTTATATCTGGATGGCCTAATTGATTCTTTCTAAAGAGAACATTAATTTCCCCTCTGAGTCAAGCTTTTTTTGCTGTTCCTATTACGAGTTGCAGTCCTACTGTTCTCCTTCATGTGGGTACTAAAAAATCTTTATCAAAGCCATGTACCCAGATGGCTGGCTTCCTTCACTCTCTTCAGGCATTCAAACGTTAGCTTCTCAAAGTAACCTTTCACAGTCATGCTGTGGAAAATAGCACCCTTCTCATCCCCTGCTACTCATCACTCACTGTTCCCTCACTGGTCTTATTTTTATTAGAGTATTATCCCACCTGATAAATCATCTTATCTCCTAGAGAGTAAGCTCTAGAAGGGCAGGAACTTAGTTCACTGCTGTATCCGTAGCACATATAGCAGTGCCTGGCATGTGGTAGTTTGTCACGAATTTTAGGCATTAGAGTGTTTTATTTCCAGATGAATGAGTTTTTGCTTTGTTCCCCACCCTACCCCCAAATTAGAATAGTAGAACTTTGTTTTTCACAGAATTCATTCACACTTTGGGATTGCCTTATAAAAGAGATTCTAAACTTTCAGCAGCTTATGTAACCTATGACTGAGTCCAAAATTACCTTTCTGGAAAGCTTTTTAGTAACATATACTTTAATAGCAGGGTTCTGTGTAATGCATATGATTATGCAGTTAGTGATTCTGCAAAGAATACACATCAGTTTTTTTCTTACTCACCTGCATACATATCTTTATCTCTGTCCAGTGTGGTGAACTGTTTACCATTATGCCACATCATGGAGTCCCCTGCATTTCCCTGGTAAGTTCCTAGACGCAGTCTAAAGAATTCACTTTCAGGTTCAAGGCGAAAGCTGCTATATTCTGCATAGACTTTTTTGTCACTCCAGTCTTCTAATTCAATTAACAACTTATAATTATCTTGATTGCTAAGCATATAGATATTTTCCAGTCCAAGCCAATATTCTCCATCAATGTTTCCAAATCCTTTCTGTTAACAAATAGACAGCATGAGTGCATAAATAAGTGTAGAGATAGTAAACTTTTTTACAGATAAATTTTAAACCTTTGATAACATAAAAAATATTCACCATTTAAGTGGTAATGTGAACTTCCCTCTTAATGGATCACCTGATCTTTATAAGCCCCACTTAGTCACCTTGTTTGTTTTGCTTTCTCATAGTTTGTATTTATTTGTACAGCTAGCTTCGAATGTTATGGATAAGAAAAAGGCAAAAGAGAATGAAAATTATTCTTAGGGAATGAAAACCTAACCTTAACCTAGTGAACTACCAAATCCCTTAAAAGGATTTCTGATCTCTCATACACAAAGAACCCAATTTTTTTTTTCTGGAAGTCTGCCAACCCTACCAGTAAAAAAGGCTATCTAACATTATTATCACTCATTAAAAATAAACAGATAGTATCTGTTGTGAAGCAAATTGTCGTCTTTAGCTCTGTATAATTAAATGTCAGAAGATGTAACAGTAATCTTTGGAGTTCCACCTTGGAAAAAATGTAGACTGTCTTTAAAAAATTAAATACAGGGATCCCTGGGTGGCGCAGCGGTTTGGCGCCTGCCTTTGGCCCAGGGCGCGATCCTGGAGACCCGGGATCGAATCCCACGTCAGGCTCCCGGTGCATGGAGCCTGCTTCTCCCTCTGCCTGTGTCTCTGCCTCTCTCTCTCTCTGTATGACTATTGTAAATAAATTTAAAAAAAAATTAAATACATGAACTCTCCTCTTTCAGTAAGCATTTATCATCGCAAGTATGCAGCACAGTGTAGGGTTTGGTAAACCTCATCTTAACATTGTGTTTTCAAGGAGGTTGTGTTGCAGGCCTTTTTTTCCCCCTAATTATTTGTTTAGAAATTTATATAACTTTTGACATGGATGTATTAATGTATTATTTTTAACTGCCATTAAAATGTCACCTAAAAGTGAGTAATCCTGTTACCTCACAATTTTGAATGAAGAATTGACCATCTAGACAATATTAATTTTACCTATCTGCTGTCCTTAAACTGGACAATGTATACCACTCATAAAATTAGCATATAAATATCAAAATTATTAACAAAGACTAGTTGCTTATTTTTCCAAAATTATGATTGCATGGATCTGGTATGTTATTTCCTCGCAGCACCAGTGTCTGATGTTACCAGTTTAAAACATGAGGGGATGATTATCAGAGGTAATTTGTTCTAAAGAAAGGGGTCATTTTTTTGAAGTTCTGTACTTCATAATATTGCTTAACTGCAATTGCTGATGCATTCAAATGTCATAAAAGCAGTTGTCTTTTTAGAAAATGGAATCAGTAAAGGTCTTTGCTAAGAATTAAATACATTTATATTTTATATATTTGTTTTTATACATATTTTATATATATAATTATATTAAATATATTTATAAATCATCCAGACTAAAAAGGGGCAGCTTAAAGGATATCTTCTTTTTTTTTTAATAAATTTATTTTTTATTTGTGTTCAATTTACCAACATACAGAATAACACCCAGTGCTCATCCCGTCAAGTGCCCCCCTCAGTGCCCGTCACCCATTCACCCCCACCCCCCGCCCTCCTCCCCTTCCACCACCCCTAGTTCATTTCCCAGAGTTAGGGGTCTTTATGTTCTGTCTCCCTTTCTGATATTTCCCACACATTTCTTCTCCCTTCTCTTATATTCTAAAGGATATCTTCAGTTTCCCTTTTACTTTAGACTTTAAAGCTGGAGATGAGAATTATCTTTTTGACAAAGGTAGATAATGAAGAATATATGGATAGTTATTTTTAAACTGTTTATCTTCTTTATTGCATGGAATGGCTGCTATTGCAAGAGCTGCTTTGTTCCACCTGTTTCCCAGGTCTGGATCACTGATTTACCTTATAATTTTCCCAATTTCTGAAGAAGTTGACAGAGCCATCTGTTCTTTTCTGAATAACAGTCCAACCTCCAGGATCCAAACTGTTCTCACACCATAACTGTATTGGTCCATTGCTGTTTTCAGGTTTAATCATATAAATCCCACTGACTGAATGTCCAGCTTCTTTTGCATGCTGACAGTCTTTGAATGGTCCTATAATTAAAATATCATTGAATTACCAGAAAACTTAACAGGAACAGGGCCATATTAAAGTAGTTTTTAATAAAAGTCTTACCTCTGTATTTTCTTTACAGATACCACTTTTTGATACCACTTTTTATCTATTGTATACACAACACCATAAAAGTTAAAGTAACTAAATAAAAGGATTACCCCAGTCCCACTATCTGGAACATTAGCTTGTTTCATTTTCCACTGTTTTTGTGAGTTTTTGTCCATATACATACATTGTTCTATTGTCATAATTCTGACACACATAGAAAATTGGATTCTTTCTTTTAACAGAAATTTCCTTGGGGCTACAGTCTTCATTCTGGCACTTGTAGTAACTGTAATAAAAATTTTAACATTGATATATCATTGTTTATTCCTTGGTCATTAGATATTGAGGTTTCATCTAATTTTTGCTATTATAAAAGTACAAAAAATGTCTTCTTATGGCTTCATTTTTTCAAATATTTACTTACAATAATGCTATGGGATCTATGGATCAAGAGGGTGTGAGCACTTTTATAGCTTATCATAGGGCCTGGTATACAGTTTCCAAAATTTTCTTTCAGTGGGACACACTAGTCCCTTAAGGTACTTAATGAAAACAGCCTACCATGGTCAAATAAGTTTCATTATTGCTAAGTATTCTGTTACCTTTTTGGAAACCCACAGTGTACATGCACATACTAAAGATTAAGAAGCCCTGAAATAAATCAGAGTTTCCCAACCTTCTAGAATCCGTTAACTTTTTCCCCCATTCAACAGCCCATAAGAATACATTTCAGGAATGTTGGCAAAATGCCTTTCTAAAGAATTGTATCGATCTATGTGACTAACAGTAATTTTCTTATTTAGTCTGCACAATGACCTTGTGATAGTTTACAGATGTTCTATAGATGAAACAGTTAACTCGTCTAACGTCCTGTATCTTAGAAGGTAATAAGCCCTAGGTTTAAACCCATTTCTTTCTAATCCCATGCTCTGGACTGCTGGCTACATTTGCTCCCATGTTATTTCATAGTTTTATGGATTCCCTCCCTATTTTTAAATATACTAGTAAGTTCTTCATATCTTTTAAATGACAAAACTTTTTGTGAAATCCTTTGTAGAGGATCTGACTCTTGAAATTGTGATTTCCACATTTTTTAGATCTAAAGAAAGATCTCTTCTGAGTTTTACTGAACATTCTTTAGTTGCACCATTCTTCAGTGTTTTGATCCTTTGGTTTTTTTATAAGCATGTAATAATATTAAGTGATTCAGAAATAAGAATTACCCCACAGGTCTTTTAGAACCACAACCAAAAAAAGATGTAGAAATTCCAATTGTCAAATTTTATACTTTACAAGAAATATTTAAATTTTAACACATGCAATTTTTAGAAATTACGTGAAAATATTTAGTCAAGTAAAATTCATATAAGAAAATCTGCACTATAATGATAATAGGAATAGGATTATTGAAATTTTGAGAAATGTATATATAACACGTCTATACTGTGCCAATATACACAGGGTCCCCTTTGCACTAGTTGGAGAAGGATTTTTCTCATTGAATAAATAGTTACACAGTTGCATCATTAGAAGGGGTTCTAGAGACTGAACTCTTCCCTCTAGATTGCTCCTTGAGGATGGAGACTATGTTTTAACTGTTAGCAGGCTATCAGTCAGTAAATAAATCGACTTTCCTTCACATTTTAAATACAAGGAAATAGAAAACCACACACACAATCTCTAGCCTACATTTTTGTTTTCTTGATATTTCTCTTTCAGACTTTTAAAAATTATGATACAATGATTAAATACTACAAATACTAGTAAAAAGGGTTTGAGAAACTGGAAGGTCTTTCTGTCTTTCTTGGGTTACATTTTAAGTATTGAATTTTTTTTTTTTCATTTCAAATTGATTCTTTTTTTTTTTTTTTTTTTTTTAGTAAGCTCCATGCCCAGTGTGGAACCCAATGCAGGGCTTGAACTCACAATGCTGAGATCAAGACCTGAGCCGAGATCAAGTTGGGCACTTAACCAACTGAGCCATCCAGGCGCCCTCAATTTGATTCCCTTTTTATAGTTTTATATCTCTTCTGTAATTTCCAATCTTGCATTCATTATGAGTATCCTTTAAGATATAGTAACTACTTTAAAAATTCTTGTCCGTTCTATTCCTAGTTTTCTAAGCTTTTATCATGATGGGCTTTGGATTTTGTCAAAAGCTTTTATTTGCTGAGATAAGTTTTTTTTTTCGTTGTTAATAAGTAAATTCTGTTAATTATTTTTTGATATTAAACCAACCTTGTATTCTTGGGATAACCTTGACTTGGTCATGGTCATGACCATGGTTATGGTGTATTATTGTTTTTAAATATTGCTAGATTTGCTAAAATTCTGTTAACAATTTATGCTTCTGTATTTATGAGGATATTGGTTAGTCTGTGAAAGCTTATAGATAGGTTCTTAATGTAGTGAGGACTATGATAAAAATAATATTCTGAGATATTCAGACTGGATATAAATTAGATTACATTCCATTAAAATTCAGTGTGAATTATTTTTATATTTCCTACTTTATCAATTACTGAATCTAAATTACAAAGTATTCAGAATCTTTAACACAATATTTCGCAGAGTAGTCGTCATCAGTAACTTAGTTGCCTTTTTTTCCTCCCTTGTTGCTGTCCCTGACACACAGTTGTAGCTCAATAAATACGTGCATATTTAAGGAATACATTTAATATGGTTAATCAGAGTTGAATGCACAGTCATTTCTATTGTAGAAAACAGCATATTCCTGAAAACCCTCATGTTCTATAAAATCTTGCACGAAAAATAACAGCTGATGTTAGCTGTTAAGATACTTCATATTTGGCTGTTGACAGTTGTGGCAAAACATGAGTATAGCTTGGAAATACTCCCAATGAACCAGTATGACTTCTTTGTTTTATTGATATTCATCTTCTGTTCCAATCACATATGAGCTACTAAACATTACAGAAATATGCATTATAATCAAGTCAGAGACAAATAGATGTAGTTCAGATCGGATGAAATCTATAGAACTTTAATTTTATACATGGGAGTGAAATAGAAGGAAAAGTGAAGTCTAATTTCCAGATCCATTCTTAGATTATTTTGTGTAATGCATGGTAATATATTAATTTGTTTATTCCTACAATTTCCCATATGCAAAGACACTGTCTTTTGGTTGTGTATCCACAGGTGAAGCCCACTTAGGCACTCAAATATTTGGTGAACTAAATGATTCCTGGTAGCCACCGTGGTTTCCAGAATTTCCTCAGTTCTACATTATTTTTTTTTAGATGTGTCTTTTCTGCATCTGTTACAGGTTAGAAAATTTTAGGCTCAAGGGGTAAAGAAACAACCATAGAGTCAAGTGGCAAGTAAAGAGAGAATTCCACAACAGTATGACAGGTGCTTCTGATGGAGTTATGCAGGCACATGCGAACACTGGTCAGAAATAGTTAACCTAGATTTGCAGAAAAGAGATCAAAATCTACCTATATGTGGGCTGAATCTTGAAGATTGAAGAGAAATTAGGCAAGTGGAGGTGTGGAGTCTGATTACAGCCACACATGGGTCACCTGAGCTGAGGGATGGAATCAGAAGAGAGCATCATGTTAGAAAGGAGTTCCAAGTATGGTACCTCTGAAATATAAATGGCTAAGGGTGGTACTTGGAGCTCTTGAGGTAGGCTGTAAAGTTGAAACTGATTTCTTCAGTGTAGCCAAACTCGGTCTAAGTTGTCACTTCCACAATAGTCAAAGATAGCTGAGGAACATTGCTCTCATTTTAAACAGTTGTTGTGGTTAATGCACACATTGAAGTGGTCTTGTTGCAGTCCACATAAATATTTCTCATTTCAGAAATTTGCTTATTCTGCAAATGTCACCTTTATATTGTTTATGAATGTCACCCTTGTAAATGTTTGCTCTGCACTCATTCGACTATAGTTTTGGCAATTTACATTCTATATTTAAGTATATATTCAGCATTGGACTTTCATTAGGTTATTTAAATGGCTGTAAAATACTGAGAAACATCAAGGTTTTGAATGTTGACAAAATATCTGTAAAATAGCATTTGTTTCTTCTTCTCTGCTATTTAAAAGGCCCTTGGATATTTAAGCAAATTGGAGAGTCCTGAGTTTTCTAAAGCTTACTTTAGTTTGATAAGACTTCATTTTATGCAAATTTAAAATGATCTTTAACTTTAGTTTTCAACCCACTTGTTAGTGGTAGGCTTCACATTTGCATTTTGGATGCCTGTTAGACTTATTTGATCAAAAGGTTTAGGAAAATTTAGTTGAAATCCTTTTCCAGAACATGTGTATAAAATTAGTAGTGCTTTTAGCTGCTTTTTTTCTCCTAAGAAAAGATAGTAAATATCAGAATATAATATTTGTTTGTATTTATTTTTATGAATAAGCCATTAACCTGTCTTAGCCCCATATGTATTGTTGATCTTGGCAGAAATATTTTTTAATTATTATTTGCACATGTTGTTTACTTTCTGCTCTAGAGTTAGATTATAAGACATTCTTAAATGTTTTACCACTTTCTCTACCATAAATATCATTGCCTAATAGGAATTCTTAAATGACTAGTAGAAAAGTAGCAGCTTTGTTTTTGAGAGGTCAGATTTAACTTTCAGATATGCATATTATTGGGAATAAATTAATTGACAGGTTTCAGGAATTTATTCATAATGGTGCACATAGGGTATAGACTAGAAGTACCATTCTTCTAAAATAGAAATTTTATTAGCCTTTTTTCTTGCATTGAATAATCTTGAAATAGTCTTCATTTTTGTTGACATACAATTGGATTCTTCTCAAGGCAGGAAACTGAAATTCTGTACATTGAAATTGAAGGACCAGTGTCTCTCTTCCTTAGTTTATTTGATGATTAAAGTTTGTATAGGACTAACCAATTCCAGTTAATAGATCTGATTCATAGAAAGAAAAATA